AGAGTGTTAACAGGTAAACATAAAAGAATTACATATTCTTTTATGGTAGCTGGCCATACCAAATTTAGTCCTGATGGTTTTTTGAAACTTAAAAATTCTGAAGTTGATGATTTAGAGGACTTTGTTAATGTTGTAGAATCATCAACAAATGGGTACAATAATGCTCAAACAATTTTGATGAAAATGGTGAAAGAAAAGTTTTTTTCCACAGCTGGACTGAATATTTAAGAAAATTTTTTCTGTGTCTTTATTGTTGTTATCAATGGTTTCATTACTTTTGCTACTATTAGTATGGCTGCTAGAATTATTATCAAGTGAAACCACTGATTCAGGAACACACCAATGTTTTCCCTCCACATCTGAAACACTGATGTGAATTCAATATGGGGTTTGATATTCTACCAAAAATGATAATTCTTTAATGTCATCTCCATGTTCCAGAATCATTTCAACATGTTCTGGAGGAAGTGCTAGTATTCCTTTAATGGAAGTTGAGGTGGTGATTAAATTTTTTAAGAAATAGCCATTATTAATTGGTTGGATTATAGCACACCAACTGTTAACACATGCAAAAAATCATTTTGTTTAGCATAATGGAAGAGAGACAATCAATTATACATGATCTTTATAACCTATTGCTGAGATGCTGATATATTGCAGATTGCACTAATTATTGTATCCTATAATAAATTCAAAAATTTTAGTAATCTTTGACATCTCAAAATGAAATTTTAATGCATACATGCTTACTTGTCATGCCAAGTAAACGTTTCAACTCAATCAACTCCATATTCAGAACTTTTTCATTGCATCCCATTCTGCTCCATGCAAAGTCAATCCACCACACAAGAGTCTTACCCACCAATCCATCTCTCTTTACCATTACATTCTCTAATCTGACATCTCCATGCATTACCCCTCTTGCATGTATTGCTTGTAAGCCCAAAATAGCCAACTTCTTCTCTTCTTTCATTTGCACTATCAGAGCTAACGGAACAAGAACTTTTCCGAGTAGTTATTCCCACCCCTGAACTTCTTTCAATTAAGACAAAGACCACAACAAAGGCAGCAACAAGGAAAGTTCCTAATCAACCAGTTCTGATCTGGAATGACTTTCTTGCTAATGCCTTTAATGCATCAACAACTCTTGACACAAGCAACTGTATATTTAGCAAGCCTGACATCGATGGTGCTTTATATGTTGAAGATTCTGCTGTTGATATGTTTTTGAATACGATGGCTGCTATTAACAATAAAAGATTAATTCTTTTACACAGACCAGAAAGTTGGGGTAAGCATTATATGTTTCAAGGAGTTAAAGGTCAACCAGATGCAATACGCTGTAGTGCTGATAATAAAACCCTCTTGAAAAATTTAAAAGCCTCTCAGATACTTTCAATAGTAGAAGTTAAACCTGAACAGTTAATGAGAAGTTTGATAAAAGATGGAGCTGAATTGTCTGAGGCATATAACACAGCATTGACAGTGGATGATGATGGAACAACAGAATATAATAGGCATCAAAAAATTATTAGAATCATTAGACAAATATTTGGATATATGGTTGTTAATGACCTACAATATGGCTTGCTTACAACATACATTCGAACATGGTTTTTTTACTGTCAATCTCGAAATCCGGACATAATTTACATTTCTCCTGCAGTTTATATCAATCAGGGCCACACAGATAATTATGCCTCGTTCTCTGAATGTGTACGTTATTTTGAAAATATATCTACAACAGACTCATTTGCACATTCTTCACCACCTAATACTGAAGACAATGACAATTTTGGTGGTGATGATGGTGAAGATACTATTAGTGATGATGACAAGGATGATGGAAAGGATGATGGGCCATCAGGTTCTAAGAAAAAGGGTGTTTTTAAGAATGCTTTGAGGGTATTCACTCGTAGCATGTCAAAAAAAGGTAAAGAAACAGCAATTAGCAATGATGAACTTCTGAAAAA